CGCCATGAGAGTACGGAGTACCAAGATGGCGGCAAGTGACTTCAGGTTTTCGTCCAGTCTGATATTCAGTGAATAGAGATCAGTGCCTCTGGCGACCACATGGAGGGCTGTGCAGCAAGAAATGCCACCGCACACCATTACTGACCCTTTGCCAAACCTGAAAGGATGTTATGTTGCAGGCAGCAGTTTGCTCCCCGCCTTGTCTGAAGACTCTGTCACCTGTGCTCAGTGTGAACCTGCTCTCCTGCTCTGGCAGTGCTCCTCCTGTTCCTCCTCTCACAAAGGTGGAGGTAACAGTCCTGCTGATGGGTTGTTTCCCTCCTACAGCCTCCTCCACAACTCCTGATGTACTGGCCTGTCTCCTGGCAGCGCCTCTGGACACTACACTGACAGACACAGAAAACCTAGACAGAGCTTGCATTGATGTGCCATCCTGGATGAGCTGCACTAACTGAACAACGTGGTCAGGTTGTGGAGTCCCTCTCATGCTACAACGATTGTCAAAGCAAAGCAACATATATTCAAAATGTATTTGGTTGTATTGTCAGTAGTAGCTACCAAAGCAACACTTGGTAAATCTCATTGCTTTTCTAAAATGCAAACCAGTGCAGGACCCTAGGATCAGACTTCAAAGGCAAACTGAATATGAACGGCTCTTATTCTTTTGGCTAGATTAACATGTGCATTTGTAAATCTGGCCACAGCTGTGAGCTCCAGAGCAAGTGGAAGGAATTCAAATAACCACAGGTGGACTACTTTGGGCAGCTGTGACTGCTCTGAGAAAATAGTTGTCAGTGAGGCGGTTTCCTGGCTCCTGGATGGCAGGTGATGCTTATGACATTAAAGTTAGACTTTAATAACACAGAGAAAGACATTGGCCGACATCTTAAGCTCCAACTGAAGGCACAGAGAGCAAGGAAAGGAGACAGAAACTTGAAACATGAAGTTTCTTGCAAGGTAATTTATCATATTTTATTGTTATTTTTATGATGGACTATTATTAAGTAGTGGGTAAAAGTAAAGTAAAAGATAATCACTTAATTTAATTTTATCTTTACAAATAGAAATAAGAAAGGGTTGCTTGTTCGTCCACCATTTTGTGCAGCTGCTGCTGAAGGTTTTTCAAAGTATGCCTTCAGGTTTGTGCATCCAGAGACGTATTTATTTTCCCCTTGTCCAACTACAGTGTCAACAATTAGCTGCAAAACATGATCATTTTCTGAATATGACATTGACTATAGGCAGCTCTTAAGCCAAGAACATACTTCGATCTAAAACATTTCCTTTTTCTGCTGAAAGGAGGATAATTCCAAGTCTTTTAGGACTTCCGACATATACTTTTCAAGGGGTTGCCATACATTTACCCCTTCCATCTTACAAACAGCACAGAAAATCTTTCCAGTTCCCATTGAAGTAAAGCATCCATTTGCTACTTTGCTATATTTTTATTCGTGTTTCTTGCACAGGTAATAGATTTTCCCCTCTTAGATATGAATTGCTGCAGTAATTACTTGGTTACCATAGGCTGTTAGTTTGCTTACCACATTAATACTCTCCAGCATGGAAGTTTGGCTTAATTGGATGGTATTATGCTGGACATTTTGCACTTGTGGTACATCCTCTGCTTTAAACTCACCTTTCTGCTGTGTTCCATGGTCTTCATGAAGCTGCTTGTTCATTGATGTTCTCTAAAAAATTCCCGAGGCCACCACAGAACAGTTGTTTTTGTAC